GGAGGAGAGGGCGGGTCTGCAGGGGGACAGTGGTCCCCGGGGTGGAGGAGGGGGCGGGTCTGCAGGGGACAGTGGTCCCCGGGGTGGAGGAGGGGGCGGGTCTGCAGGGGGACAGTGGTCCCCGGGGTGGAGGAGGGGTGAGTCTCAGAGGGCCTGTGGTCCCGAGGGTGGAGAGGAGGCCGTGGGCTCAAGAGCTGTTGACGAGGTGGAGCACAGTGGAGCGGTGCCCAGGCAGGTTCAGGATGAGGAGCAGAGGAGTTCGAGGTGCACTGCCGGCTTGGGGAGCTGCATGGACACAGGGCTGGGTCTGAGTCGGGGCAGGAGGCAGGAGCCCTTCTGTCCTGTGCAAGCTGGGGCTGGAGTGGCCACAAAGGCAGCGGCAAGGAGCTCCCACAAGGGAGTGCCCCGAGCCATCCCACACTGGATAGTTAGGACTCTACACAGAGAAGTACCGAACCCCAGGGCCATCGTTCAGGGCCAGGCGGGGTGGCTTTCTCTGTATTTAGCAACGTGGCTGATCTCAATGTCTCCAGCAACAACCTAAATGCTTTTATCCACGGAGGGGAAAACATGCAGGCGGGTCAGGACAGAGAAAGAAAGTGCTGGGGCACTGGGGGTGCTGTGTTAGCCTGGGCAGGACACCCAGGAGGCAGTGGCTCCCTGGGCTGGGCCTCGGTCCATGCTGAGCTGACAGGGGAGCTTTGGGATTTGCTGGCATGTCAGAGCAGGAGAGGATGGGTGTGCCCTGGGCACTGAGGGCTCAACAGCAGGAGAGGATGGGTGTGCACTGGGGCACCTGGGGCTCAACAGCAGGAGAGGATGGGTGTGCCCTGGGGCACTGGGGGCTCAATGGCAGGAGAGGATGGGTGTGCACTGGGGTACTGGGGGCTCAACAGCAGGAGAGGATGGGTGTGCCCTGGGCACTGAGGGCTCAACAGCAGGAGAGGATGGGTGTGCACTGGGGGCTGAACGGGAGGAGAGGATGAGTGTGCACTGGGGCACTGGGGGCTCAATGGCAGGAGAGGATGGGTGTGCGCTAGGCACTGGGGGCTCAATGGCAGGAGAGGATGGGTGTGCGCTGGGTACTGGGGGCTCAATGGCAGGAGAGGATGGGTGTGCGCTGGGTACTGGGGGCTCAATGGCAGGAGAGGATGGTGTGCGCTGGGCACTGGGGGCTCAGCAGAAGAGGATTGGTGTGCACTGGGTACTGGGGGCTCAATGGCAGGAGAGGATGGGTGTGCACTGGGGCGCTGGGGGCTCAATGGCAGGAGAGGATGGATGTGCACTGGGCACTGGGGGCAGGGAACCATGGTAACGAGGCTCACCTGGTGGAACACTGAGGAAGCTGAGACCACCCAGGAAGAGGCCCTAAGGAGCAGGAGGAGAAGCTAGAGTCGGGTTTTGGGGTCCGTGAGAACTTCGATGCGTAGGTGACGTGCCTGTGTGAATGACATGGTGAAACAGGAACGGCTGGGGAAGGGCTGAAGGACCGCAGCATAGGCGACCTTAGCAGCAGCAAGGGCTCCATGGCTGCTCAACAGATCTGAGGGGAGGATGTGGACACAGCTGGCATCTGTGTCCCCGAGCCGGGCTTTGAAGGGCAAGAGAGAAATCAGAGGTCAGATGCGGTGCAGTGAGGGCTAGTTCTGGTCACTGCTGTGTCACGAGGGGGTGTCAGAGCCTCGTCACCTGCTGCTGTCCATCCATCTGCCTGACCCAGCAGAGCCACCAGGTCACCAGGGTGAGCTAGTGAAGGGCAGGCAGCTGGATGTGTCATTGTTTCCTTTGTAAAAATAAATTTGCAACATAAAAACACCACCTTTTGTATGTTGGACACAAATACGTTTTTAAAAAGGTTTTTAAAAATCCATCCTAAGTGTCCAACAGCAGATGCATGGATGAAGAATGTGTGTTGTATATTACGGTATGCAGGGGACACGATTCAGCTGCCACTTGTAACAACACGGTTGAAGCTGGAGGGTGTTAAGTGAAATAAGACATAAAGACAGTTACTGCACAACTCACGTGGAATCGAAAAACGCTGAATTTGTGGAAGTGGAGAGGAGAGTACCAGGGCTTGGGGAGGAGGGAGGTTATGGAGATGTTGCTCAAAGTGTGCAAAGTTTCAGCTGGGAAGAATACGTTCAGGAGATCTATCGCACAATGTGGTGGCTGTAGTTAATGACAAGGTATTGTATTCTGGAAAATGCCTAAGAGAGTGGATTTTTAGTGTTCTCAGCACAAAACGATGCATACATGTTAACTAGCACAATTTAGCAATTCCACAGTATATACATATTTCAAAACACATTGACTAATATATACTTCTTGTGAATTTAAAAAATAAATTAAAAAAAGACCTGTACGATAAACTACAGAGAATGAGAAAGATGCAGTAAAAGAGACCATGTAGAAAAATTTCAGAAATGATAAGCAACCTGAATCCTAAAATTTCACAAGGAATCGTTGTAAGTGTAAAGAAAATAAATTCTCAGCTAGACATATCATAGTGAATTGTAGAAGGCCAAAAACCAAGAGGAGATCCTTAAAACTACTAGAGAGAAGAAGATACTGACAGAACAACAGTTACCCTTCCTATGGATTTTTTACCCTTCCTCAGATTTTTCAGAGGAGCCCAGAAACGATGGCACAATCCCCAAAGCAGCCAGGGAAAACAGCTGTCAGCGTCTGTACCCAGCTACGCCGTCATTCAGAAGTGCGTGTGAAATAAAGACCGTTTCAGGAAGTAGATTGGCAGAGTTTACCATTCACAAAACCTTCCTCGGAGAACTACCAATAGATACACTTCACAAGAGGAAAGTGTCATCTAGAGTAACAGAATAGGTGCTAGAGGTGGTGATGTGAGGAAACCGAAGTAATGAGAACCTCCAGTCCCAAGGCCTAGGGTAGATCATACCAATGGCGATCGGCCCTCTAGAAGTTGTAGGCTGCATTAGCAGTCCTGCGTGTGGCTCAGCGCTGCGGCGCATTCTGCCAGTATTGCTTAAGGCATTATCCCTGAAAACACCCATGGATTGGTGTGCAGGTCACAAATTGTGCTTCTCTTTGTTTGTATACTTAGAAGATCACAGCTGGTAAATAAATGCCAGAGCCTGAATTGAAACATACGGCAGTCTGAAAATTATCTGCAGAGCTTACAGCTTGCAGTGAACGCCAAGAACGAAGTATGCAGGCAGTTCCAGCTGAGCGGGGTTGGGGGGTGGCTCTTCCTAGAGAGTGTGCCCCAGCATCTACCCACCAAATATTGACCCAAAGGGCTTGTGTTAACTGCAGACACCCACTAGATGGCCATTCGAGGTGGGTTGCTGAGGCACCTGTGACCTTGCACACACTCGAAATGCGTTCTCAGGACGCTGTTTTCAGCATTCCTTATCACACCACACACTCCACTCCCCGTCCTGTTTTCAGGGTCAAAGAGTTTCATGCCCATGCACAAATCACACACACAATGTCTCAGTATTTTCCATGCCTGGACCTCAAATGCCATGTACGTAAGCCTGGACATGCTGCCGTGTGCCCCCCACATCTCCCCCTTCTTTAATTCTTAGGGCATGCTGGTCATCCAATGCAAGGTAAGCCATCATTCTTCCCTGGTTGTAGACGTGTCAGGTGGTAGCACGGAGCCACCTGCAGGTGCCTAGCAAACAGATACGAGCGAGAATACGTATGGCGACCATCACCCAGATGTGTGTGTTTAACCCAGACCACCAAGCGTTTGGGTTTAACCGTTGAAAGCCTGCTTGTAATTGCCGAAGGGTGCTTGTTTGTAATTGCTGTGACCATTCCTCAAGTTGTTTCTTTAATTCACACTCAAGAGTGGACCCTTGAGAAGACAAATAGTCGTGATAAGCCCCTTGCAGCTATGCTTTTCTAAATAACTGCAATGTGGAATCTCCCTCCCAGCTCCAGGTTAAATTTACAGGCAGCCACCATCCTGCATGCTCTTCGAAGATCATGACATCGGTTATGTTTAACTGTGTAACGTTTTGATGAGACAAGCATGTAGCGTGCTAGTTACTGGAAGAGACTTTAATACTACAAAGGATTGGTTCTGTCCTACGTTAGGAACACCTTGCCCAAACAGAAGTATATAAGGGTGCGTAGCACAAGTCAGGACTGTTTCAGTAACACCATTGTGCAGAGAGGGTGTAGTTGCCCCCAGTAGTAATGTACTCACCATGTGAAAGAACCTGTTCAAGAAAGGGAAGTCGTAATCTCCAAATTTGGTGTGAGCAGGGCTTAAAGCTTATTTCCCTTTTATTGTTCCTGAGAGCCCACACTCTGACCAGGTGATAGAATTATTGGAGGGACTCCCAAACCCAATAGTCTGATTTGCAGATAAGGTAAGGTGTCATTATCAAGCAGGGCCCTTGGCGCGGCGCAGACTTGTCTGCACGGAGACCAGCGGACAGCCTGGACTGTGTGTTGCCAGTCCCTACACGGATGGCGTTTAGGAAGATCAGGCACTTGTGTAGGCATTAGCGACCTCAGTGAGGTTAGTGGTAACAGCAGAAGTCAAGGTCAGATTTGCAGGCTTAGCATCTTTTTCAGGCTGATAGTACAGATGCTCCTGAGGAATGAGAGTAACACACTTACCATGTGCTGTTGTAGAAAGACAGAGAGGGGGATTACTACACAGTAAAGTCAAGGAGTCATTAAGTTGAAGCCATCTCACATTTTCAGTTAAGGGGTAAGACAGGGGCATCTACTGACCTCCTGTCCGTAGTAGGTCAGATGACAAAGGTGGTCAGCATCCCACCATGTACTAACATTAAAAACGGGGACTCAGAACATGACTCCAATAAACATGACCTTGAGCAGATCCCACTTCGCAAAGGACAAGAACCACCAGCCATGTCTGTCTTACTCTCAGAAGTTTCCCCAAGTACCGCCAGATACGTAAGTCACCGGTTCTCCTCAGCCGCGGGGGCTGGCGCAGCGGCAGGCTGGTTGTTGCTCACTGATTCGGTTTCTTTAGCTGCCCTCGGATAACATCAGGTGCCTTCCGAGTCATCACCATCTGTTTCAGTTGATTCTACGAGTCCTGTTCTCAAGGAGAGACCCCCGTATTGCCCCTTTTTTATTTATTAAGATGTACTTTAAGAGCTTAATGAGCTTATTTACCAACGGCCTAACCAGTTGAGTTATAGGAAATACCAGTTTTGCCTTGTATGTGTTGAAGTTGCAATGCTTATGTAAATTGAGCACTAAGATAGTAAGGTCCATTATCAGTTTTCATAGTTTGTGGAAGGCCTAAAGTTATAACAGATTTAAACAAATGAGCAATTGCATCTTTAGTTTTTTCTCCAGTCCAGGGGGTAGCATGCATTAAACCTGTGTAAGTGTCCACAGTAACGTGAACAAGTTTAAACATTTAAAGGCTGGACACTGAGTAATACCAGTTTGCCGGGTAGCATTGGGCACCAGACCTTGTGGGTTGGCACCAAGCATGAAGGAAAAAGGAGAGAGAGAATGCCATTGGCAGTCAGGACAAGTTTTAATAATTATGTGAGCCTGAGCAAGCGTCGAATAAAACTGTTTAAGACTGCAAGCGGGTGGATCACAAGGTCAAGAGATCGAGACCATCCTGGTCAACACGGTGAAAACCCGTCTCTACTAAAAATACAAAAAATCAGCTGGGCATGGTGGCGCGTGCCTGTAATCCCAGCTACTCAGGAGGCTGAGGCAGGAGAATTGCCTGAACTCAGGAGGCGGAGGTTGCAGTGAGCCGAGATCGCGCCATTGCACTCCAGCCTGGGTAACAAGAGCGAAACTCCGTCTCCAAAAAAAAAAAAAAAAAAAAAAAGACCGCGAGCATTCTGATGAAGAAAAGCATGATCAGCTTGAGCTCACGAAAAATGTGGGAAAGTCTGCAAACTGCGTCTGTGGTTGCGCCAGAGCAGCAGCTCCAGCTTTCCCTCCTGATAAGGGACCAGGTAACCTAGAGTGAGAGCAGAGATGGGTGATGTAAGGAGCCTGACGGGCACAGGGGAGCTCTTCATTCCTGGTGGAGCTAGTGGGGCTTCGTTGGTAATGCCTTTCACCTGTGCAAGATCTAAATGAGTAATGCTCTGTGCCGCTTCAGCAGCATCGCTAACTATGTTTATGTCTTGGTGAGAAAAAGTTTGTAAGGCCACTCTGAGGGCACCTAACTCTGCCTGTTGCGTAAGTGTTAAAATGTTCCTGGATTTCGTGTTGTCAGTTTTGCGTGGCGTCTTGCCACACTATAGCTGGCTTTTCAGTCTGTCTTGAACCATCTGTAAAGACCGTGGTGGTGCGAAACAGAGGCTCAGACAGCAGTAGATACAAATGTACCAGGCACAGTTTGTAAAAAGTTCAGGAGCTCAGAGGCTGGCAAATGAAAGCTGATATTACCAATAAAGTCAGCCATTGCTACTTGTCAATCAGGATCACAAGCTGAAAGAGTGCGAAATGGTTCCTTGCTTAACAGTCGGGCAGGGAGCAGCAGGGTCGTGTCTTGATCATTGGATGCAACGTTGGCGCCCCTTTATGAGAAGAGAAGCTATGAAATCTGTAGTCTTCTGTACGTTTTTAGTGGGATTATGAGACAGGGACATAACATATAAAATACAGGAATGGCAAAAGATAAAGCCTACCTGTTAAACTACGGCATGGAAGGGACAGATATTTTAAGTAATTTTTTTACCATATTTTGGTTCTTGAAAGTCATTAGAATGTGACTGCAAGTCGCCAAGATAATAAACCCCCATTGAGTTAGCTTGCGTGTGTGAAAAAACCAGAAAAACAAAACCGAACCCAAATACTTTAAAAAATGTTCTTCGGTGCTGGCCATTTTCCTGCGTTAGCCTTCAGCTGGAATGCTGGAGCTTGGGAAAGCACAGCTGTGGCCCGTTTCTTGCCACCTGCTCCAGGCTCCTTAGGCAGCCTCTCTTTTTAATAGCCTGCCACCTGTTGCTGCCTTTCCCCCAAGAGGAAGGAAGGCCGTAAGTAGCAGGAGGGGGTTTAATGACCAGTGGGAAGTGCGTGCGTGTAAGCACGGGGGCAGGCGGGAGGAGGGTCACAGGCTGGGAGAAGACCACCCCCTCATCCTCCAGGCCACTGACACTTCGAGCCACCCTGTTAAGTAAGGTACGGAAAATATACTGGGTTTTTTATGATTTTTACCACCCCCAAGCAGAGCGGCTCGGGGCGGAGCAGACATGCAGCACAGGGTCTGCTTTGAAGTGTCCTAGCCACGGTGTTTTTAAACGTTTTATAAAAAAGAAACTTTCCTTACTGCTGCGTCTGCCTTCTGAAGATGACGGCAGCAGCAGAGCTCGCCCTCCCCAGCCTAGTCAGCATTTAACATATGGCTACAGGAGAGCGCCCTCATTAGCGGGCTTCTCCCCCGGCTCATTTTCTCACCCCTGTGCCCACCTTAGGCTATTAGGGTCGGGGTGCACATAGACGGTTTCTTAGCCCTTTCCCTAGGGGCCAGGGAAAACAAGGAATTGCTCATCAGCTGAGACATGCGAGGGGTGTCAGGGAAGGGCAGATGTAGGAAGAGCAGTGGCACAGCAGGCAGCGGGCCACCTTCTGGGTGCAGTCACGGAGGCGCGTTCTCAGGGCTGGGCTGGAGCTGCCTGCAGCCACCGGGGACTTGGTCTGTGCCTCTTGGCATCCCTCCGTCACCACAAACCCAGAAAGGGGCAACTTGCCTAGACTGCCAGTGACTAAATGGGCACTCCATGGCATCTTAGCAACTCTCCTGCCCCAGGCCTCTGTGGGCAGCAAGAAAGCCAGCAGGCAGCAGACAACTTTCCCTTATACTCCAGGGAAACAGAAAAAAGACAAGGCCAGGAAGGCGGTGCTGGAAGTGGGAAGTGAGAACTTCCGTATTAGGAGGACGGTCACAGCCGCCTCCTTCCCTCCCGGAGGCCCCCATATGATCTGTAGACGATCGTGACCATCTGTGTGGTGAAGGAGACGCGGTCACCCGATCATGCCGATGTTCGCTGAGCGGGGGTCTTATCTAAGAGCTGTCACTTAGGAGCCTCCACTCTCCATAAGGGGGATGGGAGCGCTGTTGCCCAGACAGGCCCAAGATGCAGGTCCCTTTAAGGGTGGAGGAAAAGGCTCCGATCCGCCCTTACCCTCACTAGAAAAATCTTCCTTATTTCCTGTAGAAGGGAACGAAGCAGGAGAGGGGCCTCTCCCTGTTCTTGTTTCTGTTTTTCCTTCTCCGTTAAATCTCCTGAATTCCTTTCAGGTGGTCGGACTCACTGCAGTCTGGTAGATAAAGAGGACACAGCAGAGAGCCTGCCAGCGCCCAGTGGTCCGATGTAAGATTAGTGAATAACCTTGCTCGTGTCCTGTTTTCAGGCAGCGGCTGACCTACCTGCCCCCATGACCCTGCATCTAAGGTTCCTTGATGAGGAAGCCAGGAGCAGTCCCGCTGAATTAGGAGCATAAGCTTGTGTGGAGCCCCAGGCTCTGCAGGGCACTCGGTAGCCTTAAGCAGCTGCTGCTCTGTTTTAAAAAATACTTTCTGCTCTTTGGTCATTTCTTGACCCATGATAAGCTAACTCCTGATATTTTACGCATGCGTGCCGTCCTCCTGATGGGAGTCAGGACTGTCCCTTACCAGGATTCCCCAAAAATTGATGAGCTCTCCTCCTTCACGTGTAAATTCAAGGTGATCACGTCAGGAACACCAGCTGCAGAGCTTACAGCTTGCAGTGAATGCCAAGAACGAAGTGCTCGGGCAGTTCCAGCTGAGCGGGGTTGGGGGGTGGCTCTTCCTAGAGAGTGTGCTCCAGCATCCACCCACCAAATATTGACCCAAAGGGCTTGTGTTAACTGCAGACACCCACTAGATTCGAGGTGGGTTGCTGAGGCACCTGTGACCTTGCACACACTCGAACTGCGTTCTCAGGACGCTGTTTTCAGCATTCCTTATCACACCACACACTCCACTCCCCGTCCTGTTTTCAGGGTCAAGGAGTTTCATGCCCATGCACAAATCACACACACAGTGCCTCAGTATTTTCCATGCCCGGACCTCAAATGCCATGTACATAAGCCTGGACATGCTGCCGTGTGCCCCCCACATTATCTAAGTGGGAGGCTTCAGATTCTGAGAACTAACCTTTTGTCTGCCCCGTGCATCTTCAAAATGTCAAGTTATTTTTCTTGGGAAAGCCAGGAACAGGGCAGCCGTGCGGTCGCGCTGTCAGAGTTGTGAGGTCAAGAAGGTGGGCCCTCATTCAGTTCTAGTAATTGGACTATGTCTGACCCTGTGTGTCCCACTCTGTCCCCAGAGCCCAAGGTGGTGTTTGCCAAGGACCAGGTGTCATGCAGTGAGGTGCAGGCCGAGGCGGGGGCCAGCGCCACGCTGAGCTGCGAGGTGGCCCAGGCCCAGACGGAGGTGACGTGGTACAAGGACGGGAAGAAGCTGAGCGCCAGCTCGAAAGTGCGCATGGAGGCCGCGGGCTGCACGCGGAGGCTGGTGCTGCAGCAGGCGGACGCCGGGGAGTACAGCTGCGAGGCTGGGGGCCAGAGGGTCTCCTTCCGCCTGCACGTCACAGGTGGGTTTCTTGAGACCTTTCTTACATTCCTTAGGATAATTTTTAATGACGTTAGTTTGGAGGTGCCACCTAATTGCCTCTTTTCTCACAAAGCTTCCCCTATAATAACATCTAGCAGGTATAAATTTTGTGCCAAGGGCATAGGTTTTGTGAAGTGCTACTTGTCTTTCTGCTTGCTTAAACTTCAAAACAATTCTGTGAGAAAAACTCTGATTATTCCCATTTTAAGATAACACACAAGGAAGTAACTCACCACAGTTCACAAAGCCAGAAAATTGCAGTCAGGATTTGGATCCAGTATTCTGGGATTATTATTCTTTCTTTCTGAAGAGTTCTATCTTCAGTATTATGTTAGCAGCTCTGCTGGTTTTATATATTCTTTTTTTCCTCATATGAAAATATATTTGTTCTCCCTTTGATTCTGTTTTATCTGGGTATGACATTACAGTTTAGCAGCTACCCATCCCCTGTAACATTTTAAGGTCATTCCGTTATCTTCTGAGTTTCATAGTTCTGTTGAAATATCAGCTATAAGATTTACTGTGGACATTTTAAGGGTAATATATCTTTCTTCATCCTGTTGCTTTTAAGATTTTCTTTTTGAATGTGCATCGTGGCATTTTTTCTTTGATGAACGTAGGTGTGGTTTCCTTTGTCTTCATCCTGGTTGGGATTCAAGAGCATCTTGAGTCTGTGGGTTTATGTCTTTCATCAGTTGTTTTCTGTTACCGAATCCTGAAGCTTCAGTGCCTGTGAAGTGGGCTGGTCCCTGATTTGTGTCTGTGACTGTGCATCCCTCCTTCTCCACCCTCAGAGCCCAAGGCGGTGTTTGCCAAGGAGCAGTTGGTGCATAATGAGGTGCAGGCCGAGGCAGGGGCCAGCGCCACGCTGAGCTGTGAGGTGGCCCAGGCCCAGACGGAGGTGACGTGGTACAAGGATGGAAAGAAGCTGAGCTCCAGCTCGAAAGTGCATGTGGAGGTCAAAGGCTGCACACGGAGGCTGGTGGTGCAGCAGGCGGGCAAAGCAGATGCTGGGGAGTACAGCTGTGAGGCCGGGGGACAGAGGGTCTCCTTCCACCTGCACATCACAGGTGAGTTTCTTGAGGCCTTTCTTTTGCTTTTAGGATAATTTTTAGGGACTTGGGGTATATATGGAGGTCCCACCCAATGGCCTTTTTTTCTCATAAAGCTTCCCCTGTAATAACAACTAGGAGGTATTAATTTTGTGTCAAAGGCCTAGATTTTGTGAAGTGCTTCTTGTCTTTCTGCTTGCTTAAACTTGAAAACAATTTGTTAGGAGGAACTTGGATTATTTCCATTTTAAGATAACACACAAGGAAGTTACTCACCACAGGTCACAAAGCCAGAAAACTGCAGTCAGAATTTGGACCCAGTATTCTGGGATTACTATTCTTTTTTCTTCTTGTAAACTATGCCTTCAGTCTTGATATTAGCAGGTCAGCTGGTCATAAGTACGGATTCTCTTACTTTTTATTTCTCCTATGAACACATATTTGTTCTCCCTTTGATTCTGAGAGCTGTTTTATCTGAGTATAACACTACAGTTTCGCAGCTACTCCCCCACTCCCTAACATTAATTTAAAGAGGTCATTCCATTATCTTCTGGTGTCCATATTTTCTTTGAAATATGAACTGTGGCCAGGTATGGTGGCTCATGCCTGTAATCCCAGCACTTTGGGAGGCTGAGGTTGGCTGATCATAAGGTCAGGAGATCGAGACCATCCTGGCTAACACAGTGAAACCCTGTGTCTACTAAAATTCAAAAAATTAGCCGGATGTGGTGGCATATACCTCTAGTCCCAGCTACCCTTGAGTCTGAGGCAGGAAAATCACTTGAGCCAGGGAGCCAGAGGTTGTAGTGAGCCAAGATCATGTCATCACACTCCAAAACTCCAGCCTGGGCAACAGAGCAAGACTCTGTCTCAAAGGAAAAAAAAAAA